TAAGTGCATAAGTAACTAAGTAAGTAAGTAAGTAAGCAAGTAAGTTGGTAAGTACGTATCCATCTTAGACATTTGATTACATTTTCTATTTGCAGCCGTAAATTCTTGTCCCAATATAACAAATAACCTATGTTTCATATGACTGTTGTCTCACCGTCATCTGTAACATACCTTATCAGCAACCATGATTAAAATTGATGTCAGAACGGTCAAGCAAGTAAAGCTGCGAAGTCAAGTAAACAAGAGGATCGTCAAAAAGATCGGTATTGATGGACTAAAAACCGATACAGTTGAGGATTATGTTATCCAGTATGGACTTTTTAAACTCGGCTTCCCCCCGGGACAGTCTCTTATAAGTAACTGAACTGCGATTAACAGGGCTAAAATGATTAAAAGCTTACGAAAATGTTACATGACCCATGTCTTATAGGAAGATTAGCTTTAGATCCGGCAGTAAAATCGACTCCTAGGATTGTTCGACGAGCCAACAAAAAGCATTGGAAACTGAACCGCTATTTGACGGTCAAACAAAAATGACAACCCAAATCATTCAAGTTATCTAGGAATTTCTTGTTAATCATTTGGAATCTCTGGACAACATTGACAGAATGTTTTCAGAAGAATTTGATAGAAAGCCTAAACTTTCCTAAATAAAACACTAGTGGTTACTTGGTTTACATGGTTGGAAGGACACCAGACACTAGGATCATTCAACATTACTTCGCTAGCACTGCTGGAGTTGAAGATCTTCAGCAGGCCAGTCACTTACTGAGTGACAGTGGATGCAGATTAAATTTGAAAACCAATATTAACCGACCATTTCGTCTTTTCGGACTACAAGAACAAGAATTACTCGTGAAACTGACAAAGACCACCCACTTGCAATACCCTGTATGGACTTGTCACCTGTGCATTCCCAAAAGCCCTATCCAGACAAAAAGGATAAGATAACACATGCGTTTCAAATATAAGTCATAAGCAGCTGTGGGTTTACTGAGTAAATGGATGGATTGTATGTAATAAGTGAAGCTAAGAAACTTATGTAATACTAACATCGAATCATGAGTCAGAAGCTGACAACACTCTGACATCACTCTAACTACATATTCCTCACAAACGAACTTCCAAACATAGAAACTCACTAAGGTTTCTTACTCACGTGGTCTGACATGTCCCAGTTTGTACCGCATGCGATCCAAAAAATTACAAGTTGCACTTCTTTCAACAACCCCAAAAGTCATTGGTTCTTTCAGTTAAGACGGTATACATGACCATTTACCTTTAGAAAATTTCTTTAACTCATTCATAATTCTTTCATAACCAAATCATTGCGTATGGTGGAAGACGGACGAACATTTGAATACTGCTCACGCGAGGATCTTTGTAAAGTTTACCAATATTTCCCTTCTAATATTTTTAAATGTGGTAATAACTAGGAGTACCAGTGATCCGCTGTTACAATAAACTGGAATCCGTTAGGTGAGAGATGATTTCACAAAATTTCAAACTGGTACAGACTAAACTATATCACAAACACAAGCCGCAAGTTAAAAAAATAATAATCTCTCAGTAAACAGGCAGATATTGTTCTACTCTTTCTCACAAGACGTCTTTTCAGGTTGAAATGATATCCCGATAGTAGTGATAGAAGCTTTGATAGGAGACTTGATGAACATGTACTGACATACGGATTTTCATCTCCTTAATAAACCAGATATGTCTGGTGCATGTATTAAGACTTGCTGACTTTTACTATTGTCATTTCCTAAGATCAAAAACTTATTATACCTCGCTTATTATCGCTGTAACTTCTCCTTCACTTACGCTTCTGTCCTCTCACACAATCTTCTCTGCCAGTTAATAAACTTTTTCACTTTTGTATGTAGTTCTGAAATTTTCCTCTTCCTATCATTGTCTATATTACAACTAACTTATCTCCATCCTGATTATGCTATAGCTGCTGGCATCCAGGAACCCTACTGCAATGTAACTAACGTCCTAATTCAAACCAGACAGACAAATTCATAAATAGCTGATAAATGACTAGAATCATTGCGATCCAATATCCAATATCCAATATCTTTTTCACGAGCTAGTGTAAACCAATTTGATTTCTTCGCGCTCGATTCTTGTTCTTTCGGTACGGTTCCAGATGTTTGGTAATGTCCAATGGATGAGAGTCTAGCCACTCGACTGTCTAATTCTAGTCAGTTGGCAGTTGGTTGTGAGTTTGTATGTCTCGGGATTTGAATGAAACGTTTGTTTCAGGGTAGTAGGGTTTCTGGATACTAGCAGCCGTCACATTACCAAACCGGAGATCAGTTAGTTGCAATGTGGAGAGTAATAAGGGTAATAAGGGTAAATTAAAATGATAATATGAGTAAAATTTCAGAACTGAGTAATATATGGATGAATTTAGTTTATTAATTGGTAGTGAAGATTGTGAGAGAGGACCGAAGTGTAAGCAAGGGAGAGGAATAGGCGAGATAGATTAATTTAGTGATCTGAGGAGATGGCAATGGTAACAACTAGCAGGTCTCAAGATATGCATCAGGCACAGCTTGTCCAAGAGGAAGATGATAGTCCGCAAGTGAGTACGTGATTATCAAGTCTTTGATGTGCAATCTTTTGAGGATTGCCTCGAGAGGAGTGGTGGTGATGCATCGGTAAGATGCTCACATTGGGACGGTTTGGCGTGTTTAATATGGTGTACGCCATAATCAGGTCACCTCTGATTCTCCTGTAGCTCAGTGGGAATAATCCCAAGAGCTGGAGTCTATCGTCGTAGGGTTTATTTTTCAACCCTATAACCCATTTGGTTGCTCGTCTCTGCACTCGATCCAAGAGATTTATGTCTCTTTTAAGCAGAGGGGGTGCGATGACGTTGTGAACCTCCAAGTGTGGGCGTGCGTACGTCTTAAAGAGGGTTAAAAATAATTTCGGGGTTATAGCACCAAGCTGTCTTCGCATAAAGTGAAGAGTCGCATTTGCCTTGGCTGCATCCCCTACATAGTTCGAACTCGTGTGGAGGCTTTCTGTGGTTATTAAACCAAGATCGCGCTCTGAGGAGACATTAGGGAGCGGACTTCCATTGAGAGTGTAGGTGGTTTGCGTCATATGAGGCAGGAAATGCATGACGTGGCACTTTGGTTGGTTGAGTTTTAAACCGTTTTTCACTGCCCATTTCTCAATGGATGTAAGGTCCTTTTGAAGCTCAGTCGAATCCTCTTCGCTTCTAATGGATCTCCAGATCTTCGCATCGTCTGCGTAGATCAGTGCCGGTGAGCTAACTAAGCTTAGCAGGTCGTTAATGAATGTCAGGAAGAGGAGTTGGCCTCGGATGGTCCCCTGTGAAACTCCTGAAGTGGATACTGTCCAACTCGCGTGCACCCTGTTTACCTTGGTGCGAAACTTTCTATTCTCAAGGTAGTTTATGAGCCAAGATACGAGTGGCTAGAACATCATTCTTCAGATTTACCGAATACCTGGGGCCCTACTGAAACAATAATAAGCGAGCGCAAAGAAATCAACCGGTTTATGCTAACTCGTAAAAAGATATTGGATTGCCGCGCGAAATTCATGGTGTGTGTTACGTGTCGTTTTTGTCATAGTAGATAACGAAAGTTTTCCTTAATAGTTGTCCCTTAATTCTCATGTATAAAAAACAAATAAGTAGTCAGGATTTAGAAGAAAGATGAAAAAACAACTATTAGCTTGTCGCTTCAGAGTAGTGCACGGACACAATCTACCGTAAATGGTCGTTTGGTTGGTAATTTTCAAAACAATTCTTCCTTTTGTTATGTAACTTAATAAATGGCTCTAATTTTATATTACACCTGCAATGATATTTTCAGCATAGTCTACCAGCAACCTCGAAATCTGGAGATATACATTGAGTCGGATAGACGTCTGAAATCACAGTCGAAATTAAAATTCCTTGTTCAGTGTACTTGATAACTGATCCCCATATATTACTACTTTTAGGGCTAGAAATGAAGTGGAAAGCAAGTCTTTTTGTTCATATAACCTTAGCTTGTAAATAATTCCGTGTTTGCTCGACACCTAATTTGTGCTTGTTCCAATAGGTCCTAGAATAGTCACTTGCATTATAAGGTCTGCGTGAATTTTCCATAAATGTGGCAGCATTTTTCAGCTATTGTTTTCATTTTCGGGAAAATAACATTTCCTGAGCTGTAGGCCACGTCTAAGCTTATTAAGATTGTTCAGCATAACTTTCAAATCTAAAATTTTTCTTGATCCAGTTGCATTGGTTGTGATAAAACCATCGGTTTGTTTTGTGATCAGGCCAGTCGTGATTTAAGTAGTATCAAAGTCAAACCATAGTTTTAAAATCGGATCTTTACAATTCATAATATTTTCTTCCTGTCGAGATGTTCCCTGGAGGTTGTTTGTTTTCTGAACGTTTTCCAGTAGACATTTTAGTTAGTAATCTTTACCAGAAAAGCAAAGATATATGGGTGTTATGCTGCGTATTTTTTATGTCGCAAGTAGAATTTCGTATCACGTTTAAGAACATCTTATCTTCTTTAACCAGTTATAACCTTAGTTTTTCCGAGGATGAACGTACGGTTCTGTGAAATTTTCTTTTGAAATATCATTTAAAGTTCAACAACAGGAATGATGGCGTCCAGCGTGAAGGTAAACAGAAAAACCAAGGTCGTTTATACCTTCCCAAAAATCTCATCTCTAGTGCTTTAGGATGTACGTTTACTGGTTTTAGTTTATTGATCATTAAAAAAGCTCATAATTTTCAGGTGGCTCGTTTGCTCACTGAAGCCGTTAATCTGTGTAACCTTTATGCGATAATCATATTTTTAACATTTTTTCTGTACTAAATCTAACAATTCACGATATTTCTGTGCTAAAAAATCTAGCAAGCCAATAGTATCATTGCCTTTAGAAAAATGTAACCATATTTATTATCTTACGTGATTGTGCATAGGTAGATAAGATAGTAGTGATGTGTTAGATATGGGCAATTCTTTTTCACCATTTCACTCAGTCATAATTTGATTTTTACCAAATGTGATTCATTGATCAAGTACTCTTTTATATATTTAGCTTTAAGTTATACACTTTTTTTTGATAGATAATCATATTCTCCGGTTCTCCAATCTGACTTGGTGGTTGGGATTCAAAATCGCGATCCGATAGCTGAAAGCCGACTGTTTTAACTGGTAAGCCGTCAAAAATAATCATAAATGGTTAACACTAGAAGAGGATCACAATATTTAACATTTCTGTCTGATTGTGATTTTCAGTAACCATTTCTGAATATTTTTCTTAAGCGATTATTATGCCTCCATACTTCAGATATCGGTTTTTTAAGTAGGCTACACCTTCCATCTCATATTTTGAAAATCAAGTAATATTATCTTTTATGTATTAGGTAGAGTTCATAATCCGGTATACAAAATTATTTTGGTTTTCAGTGATTTGCTACCTTGACGTGGTGGTCGGGATTGACTATCGTGATGACCCAGCTGAGCTATACTGGCTGGAACATATGTTCCTGAAGGTTCTACCATGCCAGGCAGGTCGATTGGAAAACGATCAGACTAAAAGCAGCTACTCAAGGTCTGAGGGCGAAGTCGTACTACTGACTGCTGAGGGGTGTGAGAGCATTAAGGTGTTTCCCTCGGACAACTAGCATCTGCAGCGATGCTGCCTTCTCACAAGGAAGGAATGGGTTAGAAAAGGTCGACCCTAAAAATGTCATACCTCACCCTACCTCATGGATTTCTGTCTCCGGCGGTAACAGCGCCCACGAAGGGCTTTTAATAGCGGAGCTAATACTCTCGAAAACGTTCTTAAAAAAACCGTGCATGACCGGCCTCAAGCAGTTTTTTCAATGATTTCTGAGAACTTATTTGTATCGATATTCGTTTATCAAAATTTTCTTCTGATGAAATGGCATATTTTTTTATCATACCAAAATAGTTGAGTGATCGTTTAGGAGAACTATTACTGTTTTTTTTGTATTTTTACATTTACGTGTTGTACACGTAAATGTAAATGCAGTTTTCCCCCTCGAAATACAAAATGTTGCTTCAAGATTGGGTTGCATCGGCACCTGAACTAGTGATAGGGAGTGAAGTAGTCGAACGTGTAGACCGCTTCACTTATCTTGGGAGTCTCATCAGTGCCGATGGCCTGGTGACTGACGAAATCTCAGCTCGGATACAGAAGGCTCGATTGGCTTTTGCCAAACTGCGTCACTTATGGCGTAGGCGAGATATCCGTTTGCTGACTAAAGGACGAGTGAACTGCGCAGTGGTTCGCTCCGTCTTACTTTATGGCTGTGAAACATGGCCAGTGAGAGTAGAAGATATTCGTAGGTTACTGGTTTTCGATCATAGGTGTCTTCGAAGCATTGCTCGTATATTGTGGGACACTCGAGTGAGCAACGCTGTTATTAGGAATCGGGTGCTAGGTAAGAATGGCAGATCAATAGATGAAGTAATGAAACTTGATCAGTTGAGGTGGTTGGGACATGTGTTGCGTATGCCCAACCACCGACTGCCTCGTCGAGCTTTGTTTTGTAGTGTAGGAATATGTTGGAAGAAAGTTAGGGGCGGTCAAACCAAAACATGGCACAAATCCATGAAGTCATTGACAGGTGGACTTAGCCATGTCGGTAATTGTCGACTACCTGTTTGGGGTCCGCGAGATGATAATAATCGATGGTTAGAGACCTTGAATGATATGGCTCAAAACCGTTTGTAATGACGCCGGTGCATCTATTCTTTTATGTTCTCTCAAATCCTAATCTTCTGGATTCTTCAACACCTCTAGTTTTGACTTTCTAAACTTTTCTCATTTAATCATACTTCTTGAATAATATCTTCTAATCCTAACCTCTCCGATTACTTCTAATTCCCTTACTACCTCTACTACTACTATTGGATCTGAATTGACAATTACATCTCTGTGCTAATAATGTGGTATGGCAACATAAACTGATGTACTTACGTACGTAGTTCTACGTTGTATCTGACTGACGTGTACAACACAATCCCATATTAAAAATGGTAGTTTATTTCTTATTGATAAAAGCTTATTCTTTAGGGTTTTCAATGCATTTTTAGTTTTAAAAAACTCTGTAAATTTATCTATTCAGGCAATTATCGATTTACAATGGATTCTCATAATTGTGGTGTTGTTTTGAACTATTATTATACAAAATTTCAATTAGTTTTTCTATTCTCGAAATTGAAATTGTTTTGTTATGACATAGCTGCTATTCAATTATTCAATGGTGTTTTACTGGAATATTACATATCCTGATCATTTATTTATTTTGAATTTAGGCTACCTGATCTGATCGAAGATGAGTAATTCAATGTTAGAAATGAATTTTACTCGTTTATTATATTGTACTGAACGTCTTGCAGTACAAAAACAATCAGGAACTATTTACAATGATTATGTAAAAGTTCTTGAAATATTTTTTAATAAATTACTTTCATCCAGTCATCATCCTTCTCCAGAAAATATACGTAAATATGAAATAAGAGTAAGTTCAATGTTTCATTTATTTTCAATCAATCAATCAATCATTTCTTATAGAGTTTTAATGACTTGAGGAGGATTTTTTAAATTAACTGTTATAATGTTATTTGTCAAATAAACTTAGTTCATGTAGTTAAAATATAACTCTGCCTGGAGTCCTTCTAGGGTTAATTACCGGTTCCAAGTTTGGATTAAGGAGGAGGGTCGGGCATGTGGGGTCAGTGACCCTATCCCGCAGAAATCCATCTCTGAACTGGAGAATACGAAACACTACCACAATCATCCATCTGAGTTACAAATTTTCTTCACCATGTCGAAATCCAACCAGCTACTACAGGAAACACTAACCAGAAAAATAATTCGCTGGTCGGCAGCTTATGCTTCAATCAACAGCAACGTAGAACTTCGTACGTACGTACGTCCATCAGTTCAAGTTCCCATGTCACATTAGCACACACAGAGATGTAATGGTCAATCCAAATCCTATAGTAGTAGAGGTAATAAAAGTACTAGCAGTAATCAGAAACTTTAGGGTTTGATGGTATTATTCAAGAAGTAGAATCTAGTGAAAGAAACTTAAAAAAAAGAAGATAAAGGTGATGAGGAACTCGGAAGGTTAGGATTTGAGAGAACACAAAGAATGAATGCACCTGTGCCATTGCAAAAGGTTATGAGCCATGTCATTTACGGTCTCTAACCATCGATTACTATCATCCCGCGGATCCCAACACCTACCGACATGACTTAGTCCACTTGTCAGTGACACTTCATTGATTTCTGCCATGTTTTAGTCTGGCAACCCTTATGCTCCAGTAGGGGCAACAAGCATAAAATAAGTAATTTAGTTTGAATCCATCAATAGAAGAATACACTAACCAGTGTTTTTGAATAGTACTTACTTACTTACTTACGCCTGTTACCCCCAATGGATCATAGGCCGCCCACCAGTTTTCTCCAACCAACTCTGTCCTGGGCTTCCCGCTCCAGTTCTGTCCAATGTTTGTTCATTCCTCTCATATCTTTCTCTATTTCTCGGCGTAGTGTGTTCTTTGGCCTTCCTCTTTTCCTTTTACCTTCACGGTTCCATGTGAGGGCTTGTTTTGTGGTGCAGTTCAGTGCTTTTCGTAATGTGTATCCTATCCACCTCCACCGCTTCTTCCTGATTTCCTCCTTCACTGGAATCTGGTTTGTTTTCTCCCACAGTACGTTGTTGCTGATGGTGTCTGGCCAACGAATCCGAAGTATTTTGCGTAGACAACTGTTAATAAATACTTGTATCTTCTGGATGATGGCTGTGGTAGTTCTGCAAGTTTCCGCTCCATACAGTAGAACTGTCTTGACATTTTTATTGAAAATCCTGATTTTGGTTTTGGTTGAAAGTTTGGAGTTTCAGATGTTGTTCATTTGTAGAAATGCAGCCCTTGCTTTGCCAATCCGCGCCCTCACATCTGCATCGGATCCACCTTTCTCGTCGATGATGCTGCCCAGATATATAAAGGTGTTAACGTCCTCCAAGGCATCTCCATCAAGAGTGATTTGGTTGGTGCATGTTGTGTTGTATCGTAGAATCTTGATTTTCTGTTTATGTATGTTGAGACCTACTGCTGCAGAGGCTGCTGCTACACTGGTTGTCGTCTTCTCTTGCATTTGTTGTTGCGTGTGCGATAGAAGAGCCAGGTCATCTGCGAATAGGATAGATTGTGTTTATTATTATTTTGGTTTTTGATAATAGAAATTACCATTGTTAACTATTTAAATTTAAATCAGTAGATGTGAAAATAAGCAAAGCTAGTTGAAAATTTCAACTCATTAAAAATTATTAATCAAATATAAGAAGTCTCGAACATCACGGTGAAAATCATAGTCTAAAAATCACCGAAAATCTTTACGGAATTCAATATAGAATGGTAACATCATTATTCTTTAATTTGATTAAGGCTCAGTCGTTTTTATAACGGACAAGAACACAAGTAAGCCAATCTATTCAAGATGGTCCCAGGTCTCATCAGGATTTATAAGTTGATCAGCTTACAGTGAAAGTTGTGTGTGTGTGTTATTGAATAACTTGAAATTACCTCCTCACATTAGAAGGAAAGATAGAAATAGAGTACTTACTTACCAGCATGCGGAGGCACATTTCACAAAAAAAAATCAGCTTAAAGGATCAAACGTATTTATTTTCAACAAGACTACTGACTGCCATTCATAGTAGAGATACAATATCGATATTTGAAAATCGTTCGAAATAATAATCAATGCATCACTGCATCACCTAGGTTGAGCGGCCATCACAATTGAAATGTGTTTAAACTGAATATAAATTACGCAATATCTTCTTTCACATATTCGCAATAACAAACTTCCTTTTGAATTTTACTGATCTTATTGTTGTTATGCGGTGTTATCTATCACATGATCGATCATGTGATCAATAGTTGTTCTCTCGAAATGTGTTTGGAATTTTTCTCTAGGAATTTCCAAATTCATTGACAAAACAAATATTCTGATCTGAACACGTTGAAAAGATGTAATTGATCTGAAAAAATGTTGTCATGTATTTTTCGCAATGCATATTCCGAACAATTTAATTACACATATACACTTGTAACCGCGAATCGAGCAATGTTAGACCACCATTAGAAGCCTGGAAGCACTGGACGGCCGTTTCGTCCTGGTATGGGACTCATCAGCAGTGCGCATCCACGACTTCTGCACCCCGTAGGATTTGAACCCAGGACCTTCAGTATTGTGCGCGAACGCCCTAACCGTTAGACCACTGAGCCGGTATCTAACGTTGTTAATGTCTAACTTGATCAAATTCACGGAGTTGCGCAACCTCATACCCTGTATACATCCGAACAGGTTTGAACTTCACTCGTCACGACTTCCCACTTGAACTCGGAGAAGATTCCTCACCAAGCTAGTCACTAGTGGACACATGTAATTGCATTGCGGGGTTGTTGTGAAGATTGTTAAGTTTTATTTGTAACCATGAATCGATCAATGTTAGACCACCATTAGAAACCTGGAAGCACTGGACGGCCGTTTCGTCCTGGTATAGGACTCATCAGCATGGTTACAAATAAAACTTAACAATCTTCACAACAACCCCGCAATGCAATTACATATACACTTGTCAAGGCATTCATACATGAAATTAGTTAAAAGTCCATTAGAGAAAAGTTCAAATAGACATAAGGTGATAATTGTGAATAAAGGTGAGAGAGGAAATCAACGTAATATGAAAATAATAAGAAGGGGTAGGAAAATTGTCATATTACTCTAGGCTGTTGTAAAATGGTTTAAAGATTACCAGAGTAAATTCAAAATTACGATAAATTGTTCCTGTACTACACATCAGGGGTTTTAACTTACGAATAGCCAAGACTTCCTTCCATAAACCTCAAAATTCGTCCTTCAACGTTTCTATACAATATTTTGAAATCTGTCTTGATGTCAATCGTATTTCCTGTCTCTAAATTTTGTGTTTTTTTATAATCGATAAACATGGTTTTCCATTTCCCACATTTATCGGTTCATCTGACGTTAGCTGATTTTTTGAAGCCAGTTTTAAATACCTTTGATTACAAAATCCGATGTATAGCGTAAATACATCACAGCATTTTTCAGATCAATTACATCTTCTCAATGTGTTCTATCAAAATTTATAAAAGAGACTAATTTTTTTTAAAGAGATTTCTATCCACTTCATAACACTTGGATGTTTGTTGTCGTTATTCGACTAATCTACATTCATGTGATATAAAGTAGCATATAAGTCTCATCATTGCTGATAGTCTGATGACTGATGAAATCTCAGCATGGATACAGAAGGCTCGATTGACTTTTGCCAACCTGCGTCGCTTATAGCGTAGGCGAGATCTCCATTTGCTAATCAAAGGACAAGTGTACTGCGTAGCAGTTCGCTCCGTCCTATTTTATGGCTGTGAAACATGGCCGGTAAGAGTAGAAGATAATCGTAAGTTACTGGTTTTCGATCATAGGTGTCTCCGGAGCATTGCTCATGTATCATGGGACAACCGTGTAAGCTATGCTATAGTTAGAAAACGAGTACTAGTTAAGGATAGCAGATCAATTGATGAAGTATTGAAACTTCATCAGTTGAGGTGGTTTGGACATGTGTTGCGTATGCCTAACCATCGACTGCCTCGTCCAACTATGTTTTGGGATGTGGGAATAAGTTGTAAGAAAGTTAGGGGCGGTCAAACCAAAACATGGCAAAAATCCATGAAGTCACTAACATGTGGACTAAGTCATGTCAGTAGGTGTCGACTACCTGGTTGGGGTCCGCGAAATGATAGTAATTGATGGTTAGAGATCTTGAATGACGCGGCTCAAAACGGTTTGCAATGGTGCAATTGAATCCACTCGTGAATGCGCACTGTTGATAAGTAGTCTCATACTAAGGCGCAAGGGCCATGCAGTACTTCCAGGCTTCTAAATGGTGTGGTTTAACAATGATTGATTGGTGATTTCAATGTGTAAAAAACACTGATCTCCATAACTCTAATTGCATAAATAAATTGATTTTATTCTGTGTTAAGGTGCACATTGATAAGGAGATTAACTGACTGTGAACAACCTTTTTGTTGTTTATAATTTACATAGAATATCAGTGGTAGTTTTTTGATTTTTCAAAGATAAAACGAATCTGTTTTGTTTATATTTAGATTAAAAAATTAAAACAAATTTGTGATACAATACAAAGTTCCAATAATAATAATAATATCCTTCATCGTTTATCACATAGTGATAGAATTGTAACTTCTTCTGACATGAATGAAACCGCTCCAGTTTATTATGATGATGTTATCAATAATGATGACAATGTTAAAACTGCCGAAAACAATAATCTATGGTGTGAAACAGACAATCAATCACTTGTTCAAGGTACATTGATGGATCGATGTGATTTGATTGAAAAAGAACGTCAACGTATCAATAGAGAATTACGTGAACAATTATTAGGTAAGATATTTGTAATTATATATATATTTTTAGGATATTGACCTATGAAGAATCATTTTGTAAGTGTAAATTCTATTGGTCGATTCCTATTGGTCAATATTATGGTTGTCCTAGCTACCAAGGTCACATACTTCAATGGTGTTTTCTTATTGGTTGTCCTGACTATCAATATCACTTCAAATGTTGCTTCCTATTGGTTGCCTTAGCTGTCAATGTCACATACTTCAATGGTGTTTCTTATTCGACCTAAATGTATAAATACGCATTATTTGTAACGTTTTATGACCCGGATCCCTAGTTTGGGATCCTAATTCTCTTCTGGACTGGACTTGGACCTCGTACTTTCTGGATGTTTGTAGAATACAGGTACTACTTCATAGGAAGTCTTCTTCTTTTATTCAATGGAGCTTAGGACACTCGGATTAGAGTAGTATGTCGTGTCTCCGGATCCTCGCTCTCGTTTTCCGACTAAGGTAAATTCGTAATAATCCAAGCATATCAAAATGACATGTATGTATTCTATGCTGATAATCAACTAATCATTTTGAATATTGCAATATCTTAGCAATAATTTCATGACACAATGATTATTCAATTAGAGTTATGAAGATTAGTTATGTTTTGCACATTGAAATCATCAATCAATCATTGTTAGACCACCACCATTAGAAACTTGGAAGCACTGAAAGATGGCCGTTTCGTCCTCTGGTATGGGACTCATCAGTGGCAGCGTGCATCCACGACTCCTGATATCCTCACAGGATTTGAACTCAGGGCATTCGGTCTTGTGCGTGAATGCGTGCTGTGTTACAGGTATGAGCACGGATGTCACTTGCCGGCTATCCACAACGTGCAACGGTGTTTCTTGAGGAACCTGCAAAGGAAATCGGGCTAGTGTTGGTTTTATCAACCTGGGAACGTGAACACAGAGTCAAAATGATAACTACTTAAGGCTGGTTACACATGACCGCTTTGTGGAAAGTTAACGTGTTAGCTTCGCTCTTTAAATGCCTTATCTGTGGATATGGAAATTCGTGAGGTAAGGTGCAGTGTGGCATTTTAGGATCTACTTATTCTAACCATTTCCTTCCTTGTGAGAAGGCGGCATCGCTACAGATGTTGGTTATCCGATGGAAACATCTTACTGCTGTCACTCGCCTCTACAGTTAGCAGTGCGACTTCGCCCTCAGACCTTGAGTTGTCGCTTTTAGTCTTATCGTTCTCTGATCGATCTGCTCGGCATGGTTGAACCTAAAGGAACTTATGTTTCAGTCAATATAGCTTGGTTGGGTTATCATGATAGGCAAGCCCGACCACCACGTCAAGGTTGTGGAACTTCACTTACCTCTTCAACTGTAAACAAGATCGGAAAGGTGACAATGTGTAGCCAAATGTATATATATATATGTATATATATATATATATATATATATATATATATATATACCCAAATATATCTAAATGAAAACTTCTGGCTATCGTCTCAGTAAATGTTACGCCTGCACTTAAACACGTCATTTTGATATGCTTGAACTATTACGAGTTTACCTAGTCGCAAACCAGAGCGAGGATCCGGAGATATGACATGCTACTCAAATCCGATTATCCCAACCCCATATTGAGTGAAAATACAAGACTTGATGTAAAGTAAAACCTGTATTCTACAAACACCCGAGTCTAGAAGAGGACTAGAGATCCGGGGCCGGGTCCTGGTCATAAAACGTTACACATAATGCGTATTTATACATTTTGGTCTAATAGGAAACAGCATCGAAGTCTGTGACATTGACAGTTAAGACGACCAATAGGAAGCAACATTTGAAGTGACATTGATAGTCAAGACAACCAATAAGAAACGACATTGTAACACGTGACATTGATATCTAGGACGACCATAAAATTGACCAGTAGGAATTAACCAATAATTCTCTTAGGATATTAGATGAATATCCTAACAGTAAACTTATGATAAGCCACTGTCCATGAAACCTGAAAGTCTAGGGCTCGATCCACGATTACGCATGGGACGAAAAAGTTATCCAGTGGATCTAAATAAATCCAGTTACTCTGTGATGTGATGTCGAATTCTGAAACCCCTCATTCATTCTTTGAGGAAAGCTTCATAGTTATTTCACCAGTCTTAAATTGGTTTTTTCTAGTAGCCTTAGTTGTGATTAATTATCCCCTTCAGATTTCATGTTGTTCAGGGTAACAACAATGAAAGATTCGCAGCCCCAACTAATCTGGTGTACACTACCCAAACAACACCAAATTTATATCCTCCATTTGAGCTGCAAAATCTACTTGCCTTATTTTAACAATCCGTTCATTGTACTACTGTGGTGCGCGCTACTTATAAGTAGTATATGACGCGAGTAAAAACGTAATGTCTGGCAGCAGAAGATGGGGGAAGATCAAGAAAGGAAGAGCGGAGAACACAATGGAATTTGTATGAAACGCATGAATAGTGACAATGGATTGATGTTGTTTGCAACAGGAACAGTCCAGTTCGATATGATGGATTGATATTTTGCAAATGAACGATTTACAATATGGTTTTTCTATTTTACCAATTAACTCTGTAATTTGAGATAAATACGATTCGGTTGGCCTCACCTGTGTTCTCCTTCACTACACTACAACTGAACAACATCTAGAACCCAAAACTACCATCAGCTAACATCATAGCCAGAATTTTCAATACAAATATGCTCGATGTAGCTATCTCCACAGGAGCAGCTGAATTTGTAAATGCACATAGAGGAGGCCAACTCAGGTAACTTATCCTTCGTTTGGGTAGACATCGCTGGTCGACTGGAGAAAGTCAATGCAAGTTTGGCAGCGTTGAATGTTCTACTAATTACTCTTATTAATCTGTCCTGCAGAGTATCGCAGGCCACATTTCCGTTGAATTGGAACTTCATAAATAAAGGCTTCTTTTGGGCGGTCGAAACCACCGACTTCTTTTTTACGGCAGACATATACTTCTTTATGAATGCGCTGGGGTACCCAATCTCGGTTAGTAAGTCGTTGATGAATTCCAGCTCCTGACTTAAGGTATCCACTGAACAAATCATATTTGCTCTGTTAGTGAGGCATCTAACCAAATTTCTTTTGTAGCGGATAGGTGTAAAACTACAAAAGTGAGTGTATTGGCAAGCACTGGGATTTTTTTCTATATACGCTTCTACTTAGTGAACCATCATTACGTCTACTTAGTGTGATATCAAGGAAACTCAATTTCTTATCGTATTCTTCTTCACCAGTGAACGTGATTGTCGGGTGTACACTGTTGAATTCGTCTAAGAGTTTTTCTTTTCTGATGTCCTGATCTACAATGATGAATGTGTCATCGACGTAACGGCAATATAGATCAAGTTTCTGAATAGTTTCATTTAGTGGTCCATTTTCTAGCTTTGCTAGAAAGAGATCAGCTAGAATTGGGCCAAGAGGTGAACCCATGACTATACCGTCTATTTGTCTGTAATAATTGTTGTTCAATACGAAATGGACGTTCATCGTACATTTTAGGAGTAATTCTTTAAGGCAATCTTCGGGCAAGCCAATATTGATTTGTTTCTCCTGAATTTGTTCGCATATGAATTCAATGGTCTCAAGGAGTGGTACGTTGGTAAACAAAGAAACTACATCCAGTGAGATCATATTTTTCCTGCTAACATTCATATTTTCTATCTTGGAAGTGAACTCAAAAACGTCTTTTACACTCCTACGTACAGCTGATTTACGCAATGGCTCTAAAATTCGCACTAGCCACTTCGCAATTTTATGGTACGGTGAATTAAACATATCAAGAACCGGGCGTAGAGGAAGACCCGATTTATGAACTTTTGGTAAACCATATAGTCGTGGTGTGTAGGATCCAGTAGTCTTAATTAAGTCGTGGATTTCAGGCGTGATAATACCTTTTTTCTTTAATTCATTGTGATTATCACTCAAATTGCCTTGATTGGTTTAACATTTTCATATATAAATATTCATGTATATTAGAGTAAAGCAGCCTGATGACGATCTAATCGAAAACAATAATATTGTTCGCTTATATCTGTGTTGTTCTAATTTTCACAAAGGGAATTTTGCAAATTAACGATTTACGATATGGTTTTTTTATTTTACCAATTAACTCTGTAATTTGAGATCAACACAATCGTGTGTTCTCCTTCACTACACTACTACTACTACTACTACTACTACTACTACTACTACTCCGACTACTACTACTACCTCTTATTGTCTCTTTTTCTAGGTGAAGGAAATAAATCTACCGATTATAGCAAAAATAAAAATTTAACTCATTCCACTACTACTACTGGTCTATTACGTCAACAAGAAATACAACGTGAACAATTAGCTTCAGAAATGTTATTATTAACAACTGATTTAAAACATCAATCCACTGCGATGAATCAACGTATTCGTCAAGATTATGAAACAGTACATGTTAGCATTGAACAAGTTGAACGAAATACCAATAATCTTCATAGTGTTTTAAATGAATTATCTATTGAATTAGGGGCGAAATGTGGTCGAATTGTATGGATTCTGTTTTTTATTTCATTAGGTTTATTTTTGTATATGATTATTTTTATGAAAATGTTTCGTAAACGTATTATCCAATCGAATTCCGTGTATTCATCATCATCAACATCGAAAACGGAATTGTGATTGGTTGTCAAAAATAGACTTGTTTTTCTATTGATTGATTGGTTGGTTGGTCTTTGTTTGTTCTCTAAGTTTGTGGTGGTCATGTAAGTGATACTCATCCTGAGGTAGGTTGGAATCATATCCAATAATCTGAGGAAGGTTAGGGTGAAACAGTGGATTGCAGTAGTATCCACTGAACTGATAGATGTTCGAAAACTTATCCCACCTGGCTCTGAATGTAAAGAAAAGCGGAGTCAGTTTAAGCGCTAGTTGACAAAGAGCCTGTGCAATGATTGTGAACAGTGGTGGGTAGTGAAAGAGAGAGATGGAAAAGGCTGCAGCAATAGGCAGCTGTTCAGACTTATCAAGGAAAGAGGTATTAGGAATTTGACTGTTAGTGAGACTATTTTGGGAAAAGGATGGGCGTACTATTCATTCTCAATTCAGGAGATTTGATTGATGGGCCTTCAGAAACAGCGAGATGCAACGTAGAACTTCGTACGTAAGTACATCAGTTCATGTCGCCATACCACATCAGCACTGAGACACCATTGTCTATTCAAATCCAATATTAGTACAGGTAGTAAAGGTATAAGAAGTAATCGGAGAGGTTAGGATTAGGAGATATTATTCAAGAAGCAGAATCTAGTGAGAAAAGTTTAGAAAGTCAAAACTAGAGGTGTTGAAGAATCCAGAAGATTAGAATTTGAGAGAACACAAAGAATAAATGCACCGGCGCCATTGCGAACGATTTTGAGCCATGTCATTCAAGGTCTCTAACCATTGATTATTATCATCTCGTGGACCCCAACCAGTTATTCGACAATTAGCGACATGGCTCAGTCCACTCGTCAATGACTTCATGGATTTGTGCCATGTTTTGGTTTGACCGCCCCTAACTTTCTTACAACCTATTCCTACACCACAAAACAAAGCTGGACGAGGCAGTCGTTGGTTAGGCATACGCAACACATGTCCCAACCACCTCAACTGATCAAGTTTCATTACTTCATCTATTGATCTGCCATTCTTACCTAGCACCCGATTCCTAATAACAGCGTTGCTCACTCGGGTGTCCCACGATATACGAGCAATGCTTCGAAGACACCTATGATCGAAAACCAATAACCTGCGAATATCTTCTACTCTCACTGGCCATGTTTCACAGCCATAAAGTAGGACGGAGCGAACTACTGCGCAGTACACTTGTCCTTTGATTAGCAAACGGATATCTCGCCTACGCCATAAGTGACGCAAGTTGGCAAAAGTCAATCGAGCCTTTTGTATCCGTGCTGAGATTTCGTCAGTCACCAGGCCATCGGCACTGATGAGACTCCCAAGATAAGTGAAGCGGTCGACACGTTCGACTACTTCACTCCCTATCACTAGTTCAGGTGCCGATGCAACTTAGTCTTGAAGCAACATTTTGCATTTCGAGGGAGAAAACCGCATCGCTGGCCTTCAGCCACACTTCGGTTGCCTACGATTTCCAGTCAACCTGAATGGCAAATCGACGTAATTTCTCTGACTTTGTGAAGTTGAGAAAGCTATGGGAAATCTAAAGTGAGGGAGAGCAGCGGGTCTTGATAGATAGACCCTTGAGATTTTAAGAATGGTGGTTCAGTTTTAACAGTTAGATTAACTGAGATCTTAGGTAGAATTTGTGAACTGGAAATAATCCGATCTGACTGGTCTCAATCGCTGATCATCCCAATTTATAAGAAAGGACTAAAATCCTGTGACAATCGCAGGGTAATCAGTTTAACTAATATAGTATCTAAAATATTGGCCTCACTAATACTCGGACGCCCAACTAGAGCTTGTAAAGAACAGACTAGGGAAAACCAGGCTGTTTTCCGACCTGGATGTGGATGTGTAGATCAGATATTCACACTACGTCAGGTCCTAGAACAAAGACACTCGTTCCGACGCCTCACAATAGTAGTATTTCTCGACCTTAAGGTGGCATTCATCTTTGTCGATCATTGGGTTCTATAGCAGTGTCTGTCATTGAAAGATGTACCAGATAATTACATTAACCTTATACAAGCTCTCCAATCGAACGAAAATGACGAACACAAGATCAATATTCATCAGCCTGAGATCGTTAATATATTTCAGCCAGTTAGTCAGTTACAACGTGGAACTTGGTACATACGTACATACATCAATCCAAGTTGCCATAAAACACATTAGCACAGAGAGATTGTATTGTCAATTCAAATCCCATAATAGCAGAAGTATTAGCGGTAATGGAGAAGATTAAGGTTCAAAGGAGTCTAATTCAGTGAAATTAACCTAAGAGGGGAAAGATAAAGGTGATGAGGAATTCAAAACAAAAGACTGGAATTTTCGGAGGAAATCCAGCGTGGATGCACCTACGTCATTGCAAATGATTTTGAGCCATTTGAGTCGTCACACTGTTGGTGGTACATATTATTAATACCCTATTTTTCAAATCGTATGAATTTCTAATTGAAGCTATGCTTAATTGGATGTGAAGCATACAGGATTATATATGTTCAAACCGTTGTATTAGCGCGAGTCGATGTTGACTCTAGAAACTACTACAGACCAATTATGTACCCGTCACTAAATGTGATATCTCCGTGAATCAAAGACAGACAAGATGAATTAATCCATAAAAGGGAATATATTTGCAGGCGATTTCGTGGCATCGAAGGAATACCGAAACCATTCTAGAGAAAAGGGGGCGAAGTGACAGCGAGCAGTATAACCAGTAAGAATGGCAGCAACACAAACCGAAAGTTTGTGCGTATAGAGTATGAATAAACAAAGAGTACAGTGAAACAATCACTGGTACAAATGGGTTACAAATGTTTATCGTGTTATTGAACGACGTCGTTTATAATGTGAGCTGTCGCTTACCAAGATACAATAGATTATTTCTACCTAAGAAGATTTTGATATGCTTCGGCAAAAAATTAGGTATAACTTTATAGAGTAGTGACTAAAAACACACGTGTTCCTAAATATGGTTGTAATTTTTTCAATTCCCTAAGAAGATATATGGAGGATGATGAGATACGACGATCTAACAGTGACGGCGGAAAAGGCTGCAAGAGAAGGAAACATGAGAAATTTGTACGAAACAACAAAGAAGCTCGCCGGAAACTATCGTAAACCAGAACGACCAGTGAAAAGTAAGGAAGGCAAAGTAATCAGCAACACTGAACAACAGCGAAATAGGTGGGTAGAGCACTTTAAGGAACTATTGAACTGACCAGCTCCACTGAACACACCCAACATCAAAGCAGCATCCACGGACCTCCCAATTAATATTGGCGCACCTACGATTGAGGAGATCAGTATGGCCATCAGACAAATCAAGAGCGGCAAAGCAGCAGGACCAGACAACATTCCAGCAGAGGCAATGAAAGCAGATGTAGAAGCAACTATGAAAATATTTCACAACCTCTTCAAGAAGATTTGGGATGAGGAACAAGTACCATCAGATTGGAAAGAAGGATACCTGATCAAAATACCAAAGAAAGGCGATCTCAGCAAGTGTGAGAACTACAGAGGCATCACTCTTCTTTCAATACCAGGCAAAGTCTTCAACAGGGTATTGTTAAACAGAATGAAGGACTTCGTAGACGCCCAACTTCAAGATCAACAGGCCGGGTTTCGTAAAGATCGATCGTGTACTGACCAAATTGCTACATTACGGATCATTGTGGAACAATCAATTGAATGGAACTCACCACTCTACATCAACTTCATCGACTACGAGAAAGCATTCGATAGCGTGGATAGGAAAACACTGTGGAGGCTTCTTCGACACTACGGTGTGCCTGAGAAGATAGTTAACATCATACGCAATTCTTATGATGGATTCAACTGCAAAATCGTACACAAAGGACAGCTAACAGACTCTTTCGAGGTGAAGACCGGTATCAGGCAAGGTTGCTTACTCTCACCCTTTCTCTTTCTCCTGGTGATCGACTGGATTATGAAAACGTCGACTTCTGGAGGGAAGCACGGTATCAACTGGACAGTTAGGACGCAGATGGACGATCTGGATCTCCTATCTCACACGTAACAACAAATGCAAGAGAAGACGACCAGTGTAGCATCAGCCTCTGCAGCAGTAGGTCTCAACATACATAAAGGAAAAAGCGAGATTCTACGATGCAACACAACATGCACCAACCAAATCACTCTTGATGGAGATGCCTTGGAGGACGTTAACACCTTTACATATCTGGGCAGCATCATTGACAACCAAGGTGGATCCGATGCAGATGTGAGGGCACGGATTGACAAAGCAAGGGCTGCATTTCTACAGTTGAAAAATATCTGGAACTCCGAACAACTTTCAATCAAAATCAGGATTTTCAATACAAATGTCAAGACAGTTCTACTGTATGGAGCACAAACTTGGAGAACTACGAAAGGTATCATCCAGAAGATACAAGTGTTTATGAACAGTTATCTACGCAAAATACTTCGGATTCGTTGGCCAGACACCATTAGCAACAACGTACTGTGGGACAGAACAAACCAGATTCCAGTGGAGGAGGAAATCAGGAATAAGCGGTGGAGGTGGATAGGACACACATTACGAAAAGCACCTAACTGCGTCACAAGACAAAACCTCACATGGAACCGTGAAGGCAAATGAAAAGAGGAAGGCCAACGAACACATCACGTCGAGAAATAGAGAAAGATATAAGAAGAATGCAAAAAATCGGACAGAACTAGAAAGGGAAGCCCAGGACAGAGTTGGTTGGAGAATACTGGTTGGCGGCGTACTGTGTTCCTTGGCCTTGATGGCTTGTCTTGTGACGCAGTTGGTTGCTTTCCGCAATATGTGTTCTATCCACTTCCAGAACTTCTTCCTGATTTCCGCAGCTGGAATCTAGTTTGTCCTATCTAATGGTAGGTTGTTGCTGATAGTGTCTGGCCAACGTTATTAAACACCTGTATCTTGTGGATGATGGATTTCATGATTCTTCAAGTTTCTGCTTCATAGAGTAGGACTGTCTTCACATTTGTAATGAAAGTTCCGACTTTGGTATTGACTAACAGACAGCTG